TTTAAGAAATAAAAATTGTTATAAAATTAGTAGTAATCATTAGTAAATCATTATTATTCAATCATCATTAAAAAGTTATTATCAAATCATTATTAAATTATTAGTATTAAATCATTAAATTATTATATTAAATCATTAGTACTAAATCATTAAATTATTATATTAAATCATTAGTACTAAATCATTAAATTATTATATTAAATCATTAGTACTAAATCATTAAATCATTATTAGTAAATCATATCATTACACTTAAATCATTATTTATAAAATTAATAATCATTAGTAATCAAATCATTAAATCATTATTAATAAATCATATCATTAAGGTTCAAATATTATTAGTAATTATTATTATCAAATCATTAGTATCAAATCATTAAATCATTATTATTAAATCATTAGTAGGAAATCATTAAATCATTATTAATAAATCATATCATTACACTTAAATTGAGTTTTTTACTATTAAAGTTCGAAACCTTTAGTAAAAAACTTTCATTTCAGTAAGGAGTTAAAATTGATGTTTTAAACTTTAATTAATATATATACACACACATATATATATATATACTCGAATAATAGAATAGAATATAACAAATTTTAAACAAATACAATTATTCATTATTAAATAGAAATAAGATTACTGTTGAGGCATGTACCGTGGAAGGTTTGGACAATTTCTTTTTGAATGACCTTCACCTTTACATAATCCACATCTCTTCGGTTGACCTTTCTCTCTAATATGGATATCCATACTAGTATGAATACGAGTAGATTCCGGCCGACCCGTTTGACTTCTATGAAGTAGTGGATTTGGCAACCATTTATCATGATCTCGATTCTCCCAATAAGATTCATTTGGGATCGGTCTGAACTCATGGTTGTATATATTTAATATCCTCTGTAGGTGAAAGCACTCATCAACATAAATGTATGAATTGATTTCAGTATGCATACATGCAGCGACTGCATGAGCACACATATATCTCCACGCCTGAAAGCGGCCACAATCACACCATCTTTGTCGTAAATTAACAGTAAATGATTCTCGATCTGCTCCTTCGTTGCGATGTATGCATGCGATGACAAAAAAAGTATGTCCAATTCAATCGAAGTCATGAACAAACATTGAGGCTGCCATACGCTCATTTGCTTCTATTGCTTCTACCACCGTCGGAGCCCAGATTTTACCTCGATTTATCAGACACTCGATCTCTTTCCCTTTATCAGACCAAACTTTAGCCAACCTAAAGTATGTCTCTTTCACCGCACCCACTATTGGAAGATGATGTGTACCTTTTAGTTCTTAATTAATGGCCTCAGCAAGGTTTGTAGTATATGTTTGTATCTCCGACCACCATCATATGCTTACGACCACTTCTCCCGTTCGATTTTCAACGCCCAGTTCCAAACGCGCTCATCTATAGCCTTCAAATTCTCCAATCTCTTGTCAAAATTTGGTTGGCGTAGTTCATATCCTGTTTCAAAATAGATATTGTGTTAAAGTCAATTTATAAACAAACACATAAATGGGTACAAATGCTAAAAATAAAACTTACCCGTGCTGACTATCTCCCTACGAATACGGCCGATATAAAACTTCTCAATACAATTCTTACCAATATAACGAATACAATATGTGGGATATGCGTGCGGAGGTGTCCAACGACTTCCCGGTCGTTCAATTGCTGCCAAAAGGCATGTTCCTTGATCGGATATTAAGGAAATTCCTTATTCTCAGACGATATACTTACGTAGATTAGTCAGAAAGAAGTCTCAAGCCTCTGTCGTCTCTCCTTCAACGATGGCGAATGCAATTGAGAATATATTTCGTTGACCATCCTATACAACTGCTATCAATAATATATGTCTGTATTGACCGTATAACCATGTATCATCTACTTGGACCATACATTTGCAAAATGGAAAACCTTCTCTGCAAGAATTGAATGCCCAAAAGAGTCTATGGAATATTCTCTTCCCTTGAACAAGTTGACCTTCTCAGTCGTATGCAGTCATGGTCTGAGACTTCATGATGGTTCCAGGTATGAATTGTTTCATAGATCATATTAAATCAGGTAACTCATTATATGATGTATCCCAATCACCATATATCAACCTCCTTACCTTCTCCTTCGTATACCAAACGGGTTTGTATTTTACATTGTATCTGAACTGGTCTCGAATAGATGCAGCTAACACCGAGCAAGGGATCCTTGGATTTTGTTCAACCAAAACCTTCACATATTGAATAATTACATCGGAGTCCAGTAGTCGGTGGTCTTGTTCGATAGAGTTTTGAAAACATGTGTGTGGACCATTGTACCTTGTGATGACCCAAGCATCTTGCCTCTGCATTTTGGACACTCTGATTAGCCACTTACACTCGGGCTCATATTTAACACACTTCGCGTACAAAGTTTTCTGGTTGGACTTTGCAACCTTACAATCTACATGGCCTCTTATGCAATACTATTTAATTGCTAGTGTAACTTCTTTTTTTCCTCTGTATTGTTTCCCAACTGCTAATTCACCAGATTTATCGAACGATTCAATAATGTATCCTGAAGTTAAATGTGGCATCTCCAGGAATTCAGGTGCCCTCATTGCTTCATAATTAATCTCATGTATGTGAGGGGTAGGTTGATATGGTGTCGAATATTCATCAATATTGATATCAGCTTCATCACCATCGAACATGGCATCATCCTCAGCCAAAAGAGGTTCCTCAGTTTCTTCATCTTCACTGGAATCTTCAAATATTTCTTCCCAGCGATTTTTAGTGTCATACTCTGCGGCTCCAGATGTTCCACCAACTTCATTTGCACTTTCCAACATCGCCACAAAGCTGTTCATCGACCTATATGTCGGGTTATTGAAATGACTCTCAAAGCCCATTTGAGATGAAGTTCCAACCACATTTCTTGATGACCCAGGCACATTAGATATATTACACAACTCAACAAATAACTCAATAATTGTAATATTTGTTGAGTCATGTAATTCAACCATAGTTATAATATCATCATCTTCTTCAAGTGGTACTGCAGCATATCTGACCGGATTGGGACATACCATAAATCTGTACCTCAAACCATCAACTTTAGCACAATTTTTTCTTTCTATCATCCCTTCATCTCTACAAATGTGATGTCCCTTTTAAACATCATATTTATAGGTGCTTCAAACTGAAAAATAACCACAACCTCATTTTCCATCATATATCCATTGTAATGGACAATCGTGAAAATTTTGTTGCTCATTTTCTCTACACGTAAAAATATAGATATTAAGAATAAATTACATTAATAATTATATGAAAATTAATTATTTACAAAACTATAAATAATAAATGTGTTGAAGACGCCGAGAAATCCCTTGAACAAATGCAACAATTCACAGCTTTGTCGTAATCCTGAAGATGCCGAGAAATCCCAAGCACGCTTGTAACCATGTAGCATTCACTCCATTTGGGGAAATAATCGAGTGAATGCATTATTTTGGGAAAAACATTCCCATCAGCATTATCTGGGCATTTTTGCCGTTCATTGCGCCTAGGGAAGTCGTGAAAGACATCGAAATTGATGTTTTTTATGACGGTTGAAAATAGATAGAAGAAACTTTTCAAGAAGAAGATTATGAAATGATATAAAAAAATATTATTTACTAAAAGAATTGTGTTTTTCGATTATGATTGAAATTAGATAAAAAAAGTATTTTCTCAAGAAGACGTGTATTGAAATAAAAATTATTAACTTCAAATGTTAACAGTTTAACGATTCAACGACACTTTTAAATTTTCGTGACCTAATAGATACACAAATTAAAATTCAATAACTAATATGATAATTTACTCTTTATGATTATGAGAATATTTTTATCTTTCCACAACTTATATAATATTTAAATAAATAATTAAAAATCATACAATATGTATTTGAAGGTCCTATACCAAGTCTCAAATTATTAACATCATTATGTTTAGATCATTTTATTAACATGTTGTTAACTCTATTGGTTTTTTAGAATCATAAGAATTGGATTTATAACCTAAAATTTCAATATATATTTGATGGTCCTGAACTCTTTTAGTAGGTTATGAGTTCGATTCTCAAAACCTTAAAAATATAATTTAAATATTTTAATGGCATATTAACGAAATGATCAAAATATAATGATATTGATAATTTGAAGACTAATAAAATATTTTAAGATTTAAGGACTAATTTAAAATAGATATAATGACAAAATAAGCCCTAAAGTTTGCACATATTGTCACTTTAGCCCCAATTATTTTTTTTAGAATATCTTAGCTCCCAAATTTTCAATTTTGGTCAAAACAATCCATATTGGATGAAAATCGATAGTTGACTAATAATTAACATATGTTGCTGACGTGACATATTAACGGAATGATCAAAATAGAATGATATTGATAATTTGAAGTGAAGAAATGACATATGTTACGTCACTAAAATGATGAAATGGTATGTATTATGTCACTAATTAATCGCATGTGAAAATGTTACGTCAATAACATGTATAACATGTGCTGACATTTAGTCAACTAACAATTTCAATCCGACAAGATTGTTTTGACCAAAAATTAAAATGAAGCCAAAGTGTGCAGATGTGGTGGACTAATTTTATCATATTCCGAGAATTGATATTAAATGCTTCAAAATATAAATTGAATATCATACTTTAGGAATATTCTACGCAATTATCTCGAAACAGTAGGTAAATAAAAATAATGCAAGGGTAGTTTAGTCATCTTGACGTAATTCAAGTCGTTGTCATCTCTCCGATTATAAGGGTTAGGGTTTTGGTTCCTCACTTTCCATCCCCTATATAAACATCCCTTCATCTTCATTCTTTTGCAGTCTCATAAGGTTTTTTCATATTTTCCATACGTATTCAAGTTTCAATTATTCTTTATTTAATTTTCTCAACAAGTTTTTTTTCTTTCTCAACTGGTTAAATGAAGCTAATTTGCAGAGCAAAGGCGTCAAATCCTTTGTAAAATGGCGTGATTTGCATTGAAGGTTGGCAACAACATTAAACGATTCTCCGTGCCCATCAAATTTCGTTTTTTCGTTTTGATCGTGACCTCGAACAAGTCGCAATATCCCTTTTATTTCTTTAATTCTTAATCGTTTTCCATTCAATTAAAGCATGCCAATTTGCAGAGCAAAGGCGTCAAATCTTTTTGTGAAAAATGGCGTGATTTGCATTGAAGGTGGGCAACAACACTTTGTTTGTTTTTCTATTTCAAAACAAAGTTCAAGATTTTTTCCCCATATTTTTATGACTTTGAAGCAGGTAATTGATCTTGGGTGGTTGTTGTTTTCATTTTAAAATGTCTAATTTCAGTTGAATTTGAATATTTGGGCGTGGGTTTAGGGTTCTTTTAAAGGAAAACTGATGTTTTTATCACGCAATTTGAATGGATATTTAGGGGTTCTTGAAGATGGAAAACTAAGATATTTTAGTTTTGAAGAACTTGACTGCAGTTGTGGGGTTAAAAGATTAGATCTTAAATATGCTATTGCAATTAATAAATAATAAGCAAACTCTAATTCCCATTACATCCAAGCCATTGTATCCTCTATTTTAATGTTACATCAATAATTTTGTAACTCAAAACATATAAACACACCCAATTTGATGAACACCATAATAACAAGTAATCAAAGGTTAAGGAATTGGACTTGAAAATGAGAAAAAAATCACACAAATTTGTTAAATGGCTTTCTATCAGTGGCATTGGTGGGTGTAGAAAGTGTTGAATCAACACTCGTGTCGTTAACAGACCCTTTGATTGACCTGAATGATCCAACTCCTTGTGTGAATGGGTATGAAAGCCTCCGGTTTGACTCGCTTCGGGGAGTACTGACGTACCTCTCTTTTGGATTACTGCTAGCTCTTGCTTTGGCTTTTGTTGAAACTGTTGGATTCATGTAGTTCGGAACCGAAAATGGTGGGCAGCTGATAAGGCTGTCGTCATCCTTAATGTTTGTGCTGAATGGTGAACCAACTTTGCTTGTCCTTGATCTTGGATACTGGCTTTTACTAGAACTCAAAGGTGTTTGCGTCCGTCTTGTTGCGGGGAGAATGGTTGACCTTGTGGATTTTGGTGTGGGAGTTTCGATGAAGTTGTCATCGCTGAACTGCTTTTGTTTATTGCTGCTTGACTGTGGCCTTGAGCTAGGCTTCAATTCGGAATTTTTCCTTGTTGGTGTTAATTGGTAACTCTTCGTACCTTGGCTTTTAGGAGCATTGCGTAGAGGTAGATGACGATCTAACCGGTTCCACCACCATGGAAACCCGCTGGGCAGGCTTGAAACACCAGAGTAAGCTGATTCCGGAGTAACTTTCCATAGCTGTATGAATAAAAGTTAGTGGAAAATAACATCCTCCATGGTAATTGGATATGATTATGTACCATGTGTATACTACCAAAGACTTGAAGCAATATATTCAGGGACAAATACATGATTTTATATTTGGAGTAAATTTATAAAATTTAGGGGTGAACTTTGAAAATAGATTATTAATAGGAAATGAAAACATCTAAATTATACGATAATTTAAAATTTTTAGAGGTCTTGCACCCTTCGGTCTATCCCTGAATATAATCATAAAATGACTGATATGGTACAGTTAAAACCAGAGTAGGCTGGTAAAAATAAGACTACCTGGTTAGAATATGCATACGCCATGGCCCTTTTTCTCTTGATGGCTGCTTCCTCCTTCCTCTGTTTTCTTGCTTCTCTTTCTTCTTTTGTTATAATGCTATCGTCCCAGTTTTCGTTGTCTGCCTTGGACTGATTCGACATTCAACTAAGTTAAGCATTGAACGGAAATAAAGAAAGCAAACATATTTGAATCTAACATGAATATTTGTTTCCAGGTTTCATTCAGTTTGGTTAGCTATCATGAACCAGAATTCATAGGTACAGAAATACGACATTAAATAACCAACAACTTACTGCCTGGCTTATCCATTTGCCCAAGGTACTCTCTGCTTCCTTATTGTTCTTAAACTGATTCTGTGCTTGGTTTTCGAACAACTGGATCCTCCGTGACTGAATCTGAGACTGAACTCTCACCAAAAGCTGCATGTGTTTCATGGCATTTGTAGTTTGGCGTCTTGCATTCTGACCTCTCACAACTCCTTGAAGCCTCACTAGGCCTTTCAAAGATCTAAAACTTCTCCTTGCCTGTATTATAAGTTTCAAGAAAATCTGGTTGGAAACCAAATATCGATGCGAAACATGTCAATCTAAAAGTATCTACTGTGCATCACACAACATGATAGCACGAACCAATACCGAATCTGTAGCATATTTGTTTGCCTGGGGAACTATGGCCATTTACAAATATTAATATTCTGTTAATTAGATTAATATAGGAGTTACCTTATAACCTCTATAGGCTGCTTGAATTTGGGTTGCTGAAGCGTGCTGGTTCATTAAAGTTGGTTCTGGTCGAGGACGAACAATCCTAGGAGGAGCTTTTGGAGTAGCACCTCTCGGAGAAGCAACATGTGGAGAAGCAGCTTGCAGGGGTGGAGGATGGGGTGGATATGGAGAAGCAGTTCCTGGAGGCGAAGCAGATTTTGAAGAAGCAGCCCTTGGAGAAGTGACCCTAGGAGAGGCAACCCTCGAAGAATGAACCTGTGGAGACGTAGGTTTATGAGGCACAATGGGTTGTGTTATTGGCTGCTCTGGAGGTGAGGGAGGCCTGAATATCAGGTTATGCTCTCGTTCAGCCTCCCCCAGGATTTTCTCGATACTGCTGGGCTCTCTGAATAGTGAAAGGAAGGAGTTGGTTTCTCCATGCCTTAATTTTCCAAGGCCTTTCTTCTTTTCTTTATTACTTCTTTTATCTAATTCCTGAAATGGTTTAGCCATGGTAAGCAGAAGGTATCCTATCAGTAACATTTAGAGAAAATTCATGCTTTCCAAGCCAAGAACGCTAAACCATGTCTATTAAAGGGGAAGAATCCGTATGCACCGGATATGCAGTAGAATTTGCTAATCCTATGAGATCGAAAACAAATACATAAAAATCAATCTACAAAATCACAGATGACGTAGCGAAGTCTGTATGCACCACCGCTAAAATAACAACTTACATTATTTAGCTTTTCATTGGAGCATGGTAAGAAAAATCTTTTAATTGCATAAAACCAACTTCCCTTCTTTCCCATACTGCCAACATTAGCGTGTCGGACTAAGCATTGGATATATCTGCAGTCCTGTCGATCTCCTCCTATCTGCGGGCATAAAAGCATGCATAAGAATGTTTATGATGCGATCAATACCGATGTTTTCCGGCAAAGAATGTTTCATGCATACTCGAGAATTCATATCCTAAACCACGAAATTGGATTAAACATCCTGATAAGAATCATGACATGGAACTTTTCAGGCCTTAATGAATACTATCCGAAAGTTTCTCGACGAAGAACAAAAATCGAAACTCGGAAACTTTCATGAAGACAGCAAAAAGAAATTAGCCTGATGATTTAGAACGAATCCCAGGAACCCGGAATCCCCAGTTTCTACCAATAACAGGCCTCAAGTTCTTATCACTACCAGCAACATATCAAATCAAACAAATACAAAATCGAAGAACTTCTAATGAACAAAGGGTACAAAGAAGAAACATGGGAATCTTCATAAACAAACCATAATTACAAAACCCGCCTCGTCCCCAAGAACATAATTAACACACCCAAAAGGAAGCTTACCCTTCATCATCAACAACATAATTAACAAAAACCCAAAACCTTAAACACACAAAAATACTTAAAAAAAAAGACCCAAAAACAGAATTTTAACAGAAATCATACATATATCATGTATGATACCTTAAATGGAGAGCTTCCAAATCCCAAAATCTGCAACGAACCCTTCAAAAAGCAGAGTTATAAGAAAGAAAAAGGTAGTAGCAGCCAGCCGTAGAAGACCCTCTCTCCCTCTTTTTCTTTTTTAATTATCTACTAAAACAAAAGAACTGGGATAATTGTCTTGTGTGTCCCTTTATTTTTTTTGGAGCTTTGGGTGCCATGAATGTACTACTTTTCTTTTGCCACCTTTCACCTTTTGTTGAATTTGGAATTGGTGCTGGGTTTTTTAGATGAAAAAAGGGGGAAATAAATTCATGAGGCTAATCATGATGATGATTAATAATGCTGGAATTAATAATAAATAGAGATGGGTTGGTCACTTTCCCACTCAATGTGCTTCCCAACTTCAACTCCCTTACTTGTATGGGATGACTATAAGGATTCCATATCTTATTTTGAATATTTTTATATTTTTGTTTTCGAGTTTATGTTTGGAGTACGGAGTCCGTGAGATTTTAGGTTCGCGGTCACAAAATGTCAGGAGGATATGATAAAAATGATTAAGATTCTTTGAACTTATACTACCTTGTATTTATTATAGAATTATAAAAAAATTTAAAGAACTCAAATTCATGTCTTTATATAAAAATTTAAGAACGTTAATGTTATTTATTTTAAAATTATTCGATTATATCTTCTTATATAAATTTTTATATAAATTTTTAAAGCAGTCAATCTCTCATATTCATATTTAATTCAATTAAAAGATTTTATATTTAAATTGATTAAAACCTATAATGATTATATGTTACAAATACGGTATTAAATGATACTTTGTTGATTGGGTCGGGATTCGGAAGGTCGCCCTTCCTTCTGTAATACCTAATTCGGATTAATCGATCAATAGATCGAAAACAGGTGGTTATATCAAAAACATATTATGATTTATACATAGATAAAAATATGGACACAAAACAAATGTAGTATTATTATTTTTACTCCATTTTATTTAATTAATTGTTAAATAAGTGAATTATGTGATAATGAAGATTTAACACTGAAAACATAAGAAAATGAAGGAAAAATTATTCGGATCGAATTAATAACTCTATTTTATGAAATGAACTGACGTGATTATTGATTTAAAGAATGATCCTTTTGTTTATTTATTTAGAATAAATTCAAAAAAGACAATTAATGTTTTTTTTTAAAAAAAATTATTTTTTTTTCAAAGAGGGTCAGGTCTGATATAAAAAAGTATCAACTTTCCAGGTAGTTGCTTTTTTCGCTTCATTCTTTTAAATTTTTCACAGAATTTTAATAAAGATTACTATATGATACATTAGAGGCATGATTTTTAGAATCGGATTGGTTAGCGAATCGGTCATGTTATCGGTTTATTAGTTTAACCGGTTGAATCAATCCGATCGGTCAGAAGAACCGGACGACGTCATAATTATTTAAAAAATTAAATAAAAATACCAAAAATATTTAATAAAAAATAATTTTTTATATCACAAGTCATATTCAAAGCAAGTCATAACATATATAAGTTAAAAACCATAAAATCAAGTGAAATAAAATGATTCAAATTAACTACAACATAATATTTAAGGTAAAATATATTAAATAATAAATATAATTATATAACTATAATTAAAAAATAAATTTGGGGTTAAAAAAGCATAACAAAATGATATTGTTTGGTTTATTTTTTTTTTAAAAACAATCCCACATGGCTAAGAAACATAGAAGAGCATCCCAAAAGTCTAAAGAGTAAAAATATGATAACAAAACAATCTCACATTGCTAAGAAACATAGAAGCGCATCACAACTAACTTCTATAAATAATAGATGTAATTTGGCATTCAAAATCATGGAGCCTTTTGGTGAGCATTGAGTGAACTATTCTTTCACTTCAATCAAGCTCGAATTTTAGGATTCAATCGAGCTTCTAATTTTTTTTTAGTTCAAGTTTCAATATTATATTTCGAGTTTGAGTTGAACTTGATAATTTTTAACTTGTGAGTTTGAATTGAGTTGAGCTTACTTTTAAAGTTTTCAAGTTCGAGTCGAGCTCAGCAATACTCGAGTTCTACTTGGCTCGTTTAACAAACGACATTGTTTGGTTTAATTTTTAAAAAAAAAACAAAAATCCCGGTTTTTCCCAGTTTTTTTTCGGTTTTCAGCCGGTCCGGTTCGAACGGTTCAACGGTTCTGGCCGGTTCACTAATAGCGGTTCAACCGGTTTAGATTGAACCGGACTAAGCAACGGTTCCCGGTTGAACTGGCCGGTCCGATTTTCAAAACAGAGATTACAGGTAAAAAACAATTTCATAAATAATACTCAGATATAATTAAATATCGTTTTAAATATATTTTAAAATTTTCAAAAATAGGGTACAGTACACAAATGATCCTTGACTGTAAGATATTTATTTTATTGAGTCTATCGACTATACAAAGTTATTTTATTGAGTCCATCAACTATTAAAAGTTACAAAATGGTCACCTAACTGATCATTATGTTCTAAACTCGTCATTTTTTTTGTTAAAAAATTGACCATAGTCTAAGATGGACATTTATCTGCTAACTTACATATGATAAAATCTGATCTCATATTCTCAAACAACTATTATATCTCAGTCCGCATGTTAAAATGTAACTTAGACGACTATTAATTTTTTAACAGAAAAATGATGAGTTTGGAACATAATGAATAGTTAAGTGACAATTTTGTAACTTTTAATAGTCGAAGGATACAACATAATAACTCTCTATAGTCAGAGGACTATTTTATAACTTTTAATTGTAAAAGAACTTAATAAAGTAATATCGAATTTTTTTTATCTGAAATATAAATAATAAAATATTCGACTATATCTTAATAAAGCTATTATTTAATGACAATATATTAAATATTATTCAATTTGATTGTAGTACAAAAGAAAAACCAGATAAATCCTAACGTCATAATTTTGTGGAACAAGTTAAAAGTTTAAGTCCCTTTCGCACGTAAAAAGAGGGGCCAACAAGAAACGGTCAAAATGTGCTTCATAGAATTCGTATTAGGGGGGTTCGCGGTCGGTTTAGATCGGTTTTTTGTTAAAATTTCATCTGATCCGAAAGTATAAATGTTTGCGGTTTGGATTGGTTTGGATGTTTCTAAAAAAATTCCTATACAATCCAACTAAGTGCAGTTTAATTCGGTTTGAATTTGTGCGGTTTTTTTGAATTATAATTTTTCAAAAGAATTCATAGCAACAACACTGTCTAAGGAGATCAAACAGTTTCACCATTTCACATCCTAAACTAACATCGATCGAATAAACATCGTTGATGAACATAAAAGGAACACTATCAGCTCCCAAGCATAATCTCAGGCAACTCATCAAAATTGCTAAATCCATCAAATTTCAATTTAATTCTCAACTAATCTACATGGATCAGCAAAACGTTGGTTAATCCAATTAGTAAATATTGTGTAAACGAAAGATGTAAACTACCATGTATATGCTTCAACATAAAGATCTGGGCAGAAGGTTCTATTAATGAGCTTACGCATTGATAAAATAACCAGCATCTGAAATACATTTTACTTTAGTACCCATAGGTAGGAGGGCCCGGAAGTTATCGCAATGCAAAATCGACGCCAAACCCCCCGCCGAACATCCCGACATAACAGCCTATACAAAGGTAATTTCATTGAAAAACCATTAGCTCAGAAACAAATAAATAAAGGAAAAGGAAAAAACAATGTTAACTACTACATTTTCAGCATTTCTCATTCCTTTGCTCAATAGATCCTCCATGACAGCAAACCAGATCCTTGCACCTCTGAAGTGAATATTAGTAATTGGATTGACTGCTGCGACATCGCCGGTGAACGATGATCCATCACAATATCTGACCTTAACTCTATTCCAATTATAAAAGTCTACAAAAAATCCAAAATGAAATCCACTAAACTGCTGGCAAACAAAAAATAGAAGGAAAAAGATGAGTTAAAAAAGAAGTTCATGCCTGGATTGAACATATGTTTGAATGAACATGTTGTCAACCATTTCAACACCAACAATAAAAGGTTTCAGTGAACATGAAATACTTTTAAATAAAAAAAATCCATAATTGATTCTTATCCATAAACAAAACATTAATGGTGAAAAAAACAATTGCATTCAATGGATATCAAAGTAAACAGAACCAATCACAAAACCAAACTGTTTATGTGCAATGAGTTTATAGGAGACAAGTTGATTGAAGATATGAACAAACAATTGAGCAATCTCCTTTACCAGATTATCATCAATCTGCCCGGTTGCTGGATCTAATAATTCGTTAAGACATTCTTCTTCATCATCCTTAGGGTCATCTAAGCTGACAGCATATGATACAAAAAGCAGAACTACTAAAAACCCCAAACATTTTGTTCTAATGATACCCATTTGTCCTTGTATCGTCAGCATCATCACAGACACAAAAAAGGGTTGCTTCTCATTTCATTAATAAATAGAACCCCGCCACCAACACAACTCAAAACCCTAAAAATTTATATCGTCAAAAGTTCAATTCCTCGTAATGTTTAGCACCAACAATTCAATTTTCCCTCTAAGAAAACCTTAAAATCTGCATTAAAAATAAGCAGGTTTTCCTCCGAAACTTGGAATCAGAAACCCAAAAACCAAGCAGAAACCAGAATTTATCTTCCATCGGCGAGCCAAGAGGGAATAGGATCAAGATCATATTTTGATTAGACAAAACAGAAATAAGCTCAAAATGAAAAGAAAAAAAAACAGAAAACCAATAAATTTCAGAAAACCAATATTTTGATTAGTAAATATATTAATCCACGTGGGTTGAAGAGGGGAGAACACAAAGCCTTTCAGAGTTATTTTCTTCTTCTTTCTTCCTTGTACGAGTAAAGCAAAACAAAGGTGAATTTTCTGATTATTGAGTTTCTTGTTAAATTTAAGATTGTGTTTTGATTATTTGATGATAACTAAGCTTAAGGAAAGCTTAAGTTATCTTAAAATCAAATAATGATAAAGTCGGAAGAAATTAAAGATTAGAGGTTCTTGAATGAAATCTTGGA